ACTTTCCTCTTGTCCCACTATCATGCTCAGCCTTCATTTGGGTTTCAGTAATTTCTTTCGGTTACTTTGCCCTTGCTAAATCCTTACCAGGCTTCTCACACCCTCCTTGCTACTAATTTTGGATCACTTGTTGCTTCTCTGTCCCTGGGTTGGTCAACACCACCTCCTTAACCCTGGCTCCCCCTCTCCCGTGTCCCCCCGGAATCATCAGTCCCATTGTTTTCTCCTCCAGACTGTTCATCCAGCCTATTTTATCTAGATAAATCTCTAGAGATAATAATATGCACCAAAAAACATGGCATAGCAAGACAAGGCAACGAGAGAGTCCTGCTCTGCTTCCCCGCCCCGTTGCTCTGCAGCACACCTTTAGTGTTTTACCTTGGTGTCGCAGGGTCAGTCTGGGCCTGTCCCGACACTGAGTCTCCAGTGTTGTCCCCCTTAGAGCCCTGGGTCAGCGAGGGATGGCGTGTCTCATAGTGGGATCAGCCATATGGTCCGCTCTGCCTTGGCTGTTGGGAGCGGGGATATCATTCTCCTGGTGGGCCAGGCTGTGTTCCACTCTCTCTTCCTCCCCATTCATTTGCTCCTGTGTGCTCTCATCAGACATGTCCCTTTCCCTTGGCTGCAGCTTCAGTGCCCTCTAAAGTAAATTCTTCTGGAGGGAGGGGCAGTTGTCCACTTAGCTGGCTGGGGGCCGAGCCCTCAGGCCCCTCCACTGGCTCCCCTCTCCAGGCCAGTATGCTGCATTCCGGAACACTGGAACCATGTTATCTTAATAAAATTGTAATGAAAGATGATTGGTTAAAACTTAAAACAACTCAAGAAATAAATAGGAAATAAATCACTGCTCTATGTTAATACTTGCTTTCTCAGAATAACCCTGAGTTTCAATGAACTATCAATAACGAACTTGCCCTCTGCTACTTCGACTGGTAGGTTCCTATGTTTCAAGCATCCTATGCATCCTGCAGACTTGGCCCTTCTGAATGAGGAGTTTGTGTTGAGCACTCTGAGTTCTACTCACAGGTGTTTGAAGAATTAGCACTCATATTTCAACTTGCTGGGTTAGTCAGTTGTTCTAGCTTTGTTCATGTTCTGTCTTTTGTTCACAAGTAAAAAGAGAGATACAATGGTGTGGCCAGCTGGAGGTGCTCGTATAGATCATCCACACATGGACTGTGACCTGGTCATTGCCACTGGTGATAAGGTGAGGTAACTCCACCTTGAGCTTGATTAATACACATGGTAGTTACTTAATCTGTTGTCAACTTGAGGCTCTTGAGAGTGAAGAGTCACAGCTTGATGACCTCACTTGAAGAAGCTAGGGAGATAAATAGCTTGCTGGAGGCAGGACACACACTCACTTCCTGCTAGACATTCCTGCTGACAAGACACATGGAGCTACTGTAGAGTCCGGGAACTGGAGGAACCACATGAAGACCCCTGCCAGCGTTGAGATGCTTCCACTGACATGAATCCTCAAGACTCCACCCACTGGTCTGTGATCTTCCTGCACTCGGCATCATTGCATGTTTAGCATGAGTCTAAAGAGGATTTTATAGTCTGGTACTGGACATATGGGCTAATACTGGACTTAGGGTCTTGATCTGGATTGGGCTGTGATGTTTTCTTAATATACAATTGCTCTTGTAGATAAAGTTCTTTCTTATACACATATGAGTCTCTATGAATTTGTTTCTCTAGTCAACCCAGAATAACACAATACCATTATCAGATGAAGATAATCAGTATGGGGAGAGGTTGTGAAGAGTGGTCAAACATGCATGGGGACTTGGTGTGCTGAACTGTATGCTACATACGTGTGTACCAAAAAACAAAAAAGAATGACTGTCATCAAGTTAATTTTGTCTCATAGTGACCCTATGGGACAAGGTTGAACTGTCCCTGTGACTTTCCAAAACTATCTCTTCATAGGAGTAGAAAACTTATGTGTATACAGAGCTAAACTTTATTGAACTATATACATATACTTGTGCACTTTAAGTATGTTAATTACTAAGTAGAGGAATAAAAAGACATCAAGGTGAATGATCTAAGGCATGATATCACTTTATCAAACAAAGAATTACAGGAACTGAATTTTAAATTATTTTTAAAGAAAATGATTATTAATGCCATGACAGAATGCATGGGTTGGAGTTACTATAAACAAATACACGCTAAACTCAATGCCTTCTACTGAATGGGACAGTTGGAAGAATTAAATCCCTATTGATACAGGAAAGTGGAAGAGGTAGCCTGATTAAAACAAAATTTTATTTTCCTAGCATGTACCTCTCATTCCAAGATTTGTGTCTGAAAGATTTGTTTCACTAAGCCTGTATACATACCCTGTGAAAACAGAGACAGGGAGACTGGAGTTTGGAAGAAGGATCCCACCACCCCGCCATTCTCCTTTCCCTTACATGTGAAAATAAAACTTAGAATATTTTGAATTCATATGATTTCTGTGATATGACAATAGTCACTGAGCAATATTGGCCCTCTCGGTAGCCATCCTACAACAATAATACTAATAAATTAGTATTGGTCATTGATCAAAATATAAACAACACTATAAAATGAGACTATGCAAGAGCTTAAACTTGGTAATGAATATTTTAGATAGAACACCACAAGAATTTGTACAGAAAATTAAAGCTTGATTAATAGGGTGTCACCAAAATTTTTAAACTTTAACTGTGGGGGAAAATATTCCTTAACAAGAGAATAAAAACCATGCAATGGATTTGGTAATTTTTTTCAAATGATCTATGTGATAAATTAATTTTAGCTAAAATAAGTAAACCACTCTTGTAAGCAATATGATTTTTAAAATAAAAATATGAGCAGAATATTTGATCAAATATGTCAGCAAAGGATCACTTAATTAAAAATAACTATATGGAAAGATTACTAAAATATTTTTATTATGGAAAATGCAAATTGAAATAATATGGGATGGTCCTACTGACTTTATAAACTAAATATTTCCCATCCCTAAACGTTAACAAGATAGCTTGGCCCCACATGAGCACAGCACAGGGATTCTCCTGAATCAATTATTGGAATGTAAAATGGTTCGGTTACTTTGAGAAATATGCAGACAGTTCCTTACAAAGCCTAACATTGTTTTACCACTTTATCCTGCAACATTTTCCTAAGTGTTTTCCTCCATGAGTTAAAAACATATGCCCCCAAATGCTACACAATAATGATTTATACATAATTACTGAAACTTTTAGTAATCAGCATGGCTCTCAATATATGAATAAATTTAAAAAATCAATGGTATAACCACACAATGAATATTATTAGTGGTTTTTTTTAAAGACCCATCACACAGTGGAAACATTTGGATACATCTAAATTTGAAGTAGGCATTTTGAAAATAATACTTATGTGGTTTCAATATAACTTTTTTTAAAAAGCAAATCTATACAGAATTGAGAAATAGATCAGTGATTGCCAGGAATTTGGGAATATGGTGTTCAATAGGTGAGACACAGGCACTTTTAACAATAGTAAAATTGTTCTACTTGTAAGTGCCACAGTGCAACGATGACCTTTTGATTTATAAAAGCACTGAAGTTGGCAACACAATGAGCCTGTTATAATTTTGCAAAGGTAAAATTAAAAGGTTAG